AGCCAGAAAATATTTTTAGATTCTAACAATTTTTTTAAGATAATAATAATTTACTGATACAAGTCCTACTAATTAATCCAGGTGGAGCTAGAAGAGGTGGATCCATACAGTTCTCAAGGATATTTGCATGTATATATATATATATATATATATATATATATATATATATATATATATATATATATATATATATATATATAAATAATGAATCTGAATGGAATTGGAACACAGTTCTCTGATTTCCAGATCCAACTTATTATTCATTACACCATCTGGTATTCCCATGTGGTCACACATCTAGGTATTGACCAGACTCAATGTTGCTTAACTTCAGTTATTTAGTTATTTTAATGTGATATGACCATAATCCCACTTATACTATAGGACAATGAAAACCTACAAACCTTAAGGGTCTGGAAAGGATCTGCAAAGAGGAGTGGGCCAACCCCCCCACCCCCTGGGATCTGTAAAAACTTGGTAACCAACTACAGGAAATGTCTGGCAGCTGTGCTTGCTAACAAAGGTTTCTTCACCAAATACTGAGTTATGTTTTGCTATAGGGTGAAATATTTTTTCATTAAAAAAGAAATAAATGTTCAAAAATGAATATAATGTGATTTTCTAGAATTTTTTTTATATTCTATCTCTCACTTTCAAAATGGACCTACCCTGAAAATTATAGACTGTTTCCATTTTTGTAAGGTGGCAAACTCAGAAAATCAGCAGGGGATGAAATACTTATTTTCCCCACTATATATATATATATATAAATATATATATATATATATATATATATATATATATATATATATATATATATATATATATATCTCATATTATATTATATTATATTATATTATGTCATAAGAAAACAATTAAAGTACATGAATGATTCATGTATGCATATTTGGATACTGAAACTATAAAATGATTTCTTCCTACAAGCTGTTTTGCTAAGAGGCTTTCTTTCTTAATATATAATCAAAATTCTTGTTAAATTAATTGTAATTGTCATAACAATTCAAACCTGAAACCTTTCAGAGTCTAGTCTGTAATTGTAAAGTTGAGTATCATCTATGGCAGATTGAATAAATTATTTCCAAACATTCTAAACTAGCACTGAAATAATGTAACAGCTGCTGTTTATGGTAGAACCAAAAGAATACAGGAAACATTTTTATGATTTGACATAAGAAATAATAAATATATATCTTTAAAAACAAAATTAATTTTACCACAACAATTCAGGTGATTTTTCTCATGTCAATTTCAGCTTACCTGCAAAGATAGAAGAAAAAAAAAATCAAATTAATGTGAACAAAATATTGTTTATTTTTTATTTTAAAAATCAAACAATGGATTTTATTATCTGATAAAAATTAAAATGGTAAGCTATAAAGTTATACATAAAAGATCAGAGACCAATATCAGTGAAAAGTAACAAAGCTGTTTTGTAAATGTATTTTATAAAAAAAGTATTTTAAAGGAAAAGAAAAGTTATACACTGAGAGAAATAAGAACATAGATTTGTTCAAAAGCTTATTTACTCAATCAGGGTTCATTAAATGTAAGTGATGGTCATAATGTTAATTTTGGGCAATTTAATGATAAAATGGAGAAAAAAATCCTTTGACAAGTTTCATCCATTAAAAAGACTTATTCAGACTAAGTAATGCTTTCATTGATGAAATCATATACATGTAAGGGAAGAGAATAAAAATACAGATAAACATCAGTTACAATTATATATCAAAAGAAACAGTGGAAATTTTAAATTTCTGGCATTTGATGTGCATAGATGCAAAAACTGGCAAATGCCATTCAGCTTCCTCCTGCTTTCGTTTCGTTTTTATTACTGTTGCTTTTAAATATCTGTAATAACATTAACTATGTTAAAAAAAGGTGACATGTCATATGATCCTGGACAATAATTTACCATGAAGGATTCAGAAATTAGTGGACTTTCTATAGATTTTGCTTTTCTCTTAATTATTGTTAAAATTATCTGGAAATTGTTTGGATGAGCTTTTTGCTTTTTGAATTTAAGTGCAGTACTAGACTGGTGTTGAGATCTCATCAACTTACATTCAAACTTGCTAGATGTAACCATAAATTTTTTTTTTTTTTTAAGCATTTCACCCCAAGCAAGGCGGGAAGCCACTAGGATGCAAGGGGTTACAGAAAGTTTAGAGCAAGATCAGATAGGAGTGATAGAAGAAAGGATGAGGGTAGTGGATAGATCAAGGCAACTGGAGATGTTGATTGACATTACACTTGAATAGCTGGAGATTATAGCTCACAGGGAAACAGGAATAGGGAAGGGAGTTTCACAGGCGAGAGGTGCGAGACATGAAGCTATTAGAGTAGAAGAGACAGCTATATTTAGGAGTTTTGACAGTGAAGGGGTGAGAGCAGGATGCCAGCCTCATAGGGTGCTTGAACTCATGAAGTCTGGGAACCAGCGAATGCAGCTCCTCGGAGCAATTGCCATAAAAGTATTTGTAGAACAGACAGAGGGAGGCGACAGCGCGTCTGTGAGAAAGTGACTGTAGAAGAGATGCCAGGGCAGGGCCAACTACATTGTATATCTGCCTCTGGAGCCTATCAAGAACCCCGAGGCAAACAGAAGGGGCACCAGACCATATATGGCAGCAATAAACAGTTTATTTCACTTGTGGAACTCCCATGCTTTCCAGCCGTCTGCAAAAATTTAAATGCAACACCAATTGCTATCTACTGTCCTTTTGACTATTCTTTCCTCTTTCAGCTCATTATTAATGTTTCTGCTCCTAATTATTAAATTACTTTCTCTTAATTAAAACTTCATTCTTTAAGTCAAAATATTAATTTCTTAATGATTGAGGTTGTTCCTCACTAGAGGATCCATGAATTTAAATGGATAGTGGCTCAGAATGAGGAATCGGAAAGCTGAGTTCGAATTCCAGTCAAATCCATTACATTCACTTATGTACTAATACCCTTGGGAAAGGTATGAATCCTCTTCTTAACTCCCCAGCTATGGGTAAGTAGCCACCAGACAGACCAGGCCTTGGGTGGCAACAGGTCTATCGCAGAAAGAAATGGCAACCTACTGCGAGAGAAAATCTGCCTCGTCAGTCATGTATCAATTGCCTAAGCGTGTATCACGTATGGCACATAACTGACCAAACTTAGTTCATTACAGCAACTATATATTGATATGTAAACTGGAAAAAAATATCAGTTTCATCTAGACAATTATAGTGGAACTAATTTTCCTATGATGGTTGCAAAGACAAAATGGGATAAAAAATAACAGAAGCCATTGCTAAATCTAAATATCTTTAAAAAGAGCAAACTATCAATGAAAAAATGGCAAACGAGTTATTAGATTGATTCACAGATGATATTAAACTAGGACCAGGCATATTTTTTTATATATCAGTTAATGTGTTGAGTAAATTAGGATCTTCATCTGAACCTTACATGGGTTTTTACAAGAAAGGTTATAAGAATCTTCAGCTTAATGTAGTATCCCCCCCTTTTCCAGTTCACCAGAACAGGGAGTCATTGAGAAATTTAGATAAAAGGCAGAAGTGACCAATTTTGACATAATTGTCAACATGAAAGCAATAATATAGTTTTCATAAATAGCAATTATCGGAAACAATGCTGTTAACATTGCACATTATTATTACTTTGGCATATAGTCAGTTCTTGATGTAATAAGTACTTTATCTGCAAGACTAATGTGTTGGAAAGTAAAATGAGTACTGAACTGTTACGTGACATCAGTCCTCATATATGGACAATGTCCTCACAGATGAAGAAGAGACTTGTAGCAACAGAAAATAGATTTAGAAAAAATGAAAACAAAAAGAAAATCTATATTTAATGTCAGGAAGAGACAGGACAGATTGAGGGCAAGAGGGACAGAGGAGAACAGCACATAACATACTTGATGAGTTTAAGCAATTAGATGCGGGAACAGGGTTCAGGAGAAATAACGAAAAGGTAAAGTTTATTAAGAGCAACAAAGGACAGGAAATTGTGGAGAGCCATGATTGACTATGTCCTGAGGGGACTCAGAACATAAAGGAGAAGACTATCTAAGCTTGCATCAACATTATATTCTCTAATGTGGCATATATCTTCAGAAAAAGGGCGATTGTGGCTCTCCACAATTTCCTGTCTTTTGTAGTTCTTAACAATGTTTGTTTTTTTACTATCCTTTCACTCTCTTGTCTGACAGCCATTTACATAAGCCTTTTAGGTTGGATACTCATTATACCCAATGTCTCTATTGTGTTCAATATGTCCTATCAGTGTCAAATTCTCCAAGTCCTCTTTCCTCATTATAATTTCCTAGAAATTTTATTTGTCCCATCCTGATTGTAAATATAATATCCTTTTTGTTTCCATTTTTTTTTAAAACTTAGTCATTGCTCACATGTTCAGTTCATGGTGTTCATAGCATCCTTCTGTAGGAGCAAATTTTTGATGTCTCAAATTTCTTTTACATCTGAAGAGTTTGCCCAACATTAACTGCCATATAGGAGGACTGAAATTACATAACAGGCCAGCACTCTTTTCTTAGCTTCAAATGAAATTTTCCTGTTTCTTAATACTTAGGAAGATATCTTCCACTATTTCAATGTGCCTTCAGATTTTAGTTTTGCATTTTTATCTTCTGTTTAAACACTTCCTAGATATTTAAATTTCTTTAGTTGCTTGATTTTTGTTTCTCAAATTCACAGATTGCCTCTTAGACTCTTCCTAAAAACCCTAACCATTGTTTCTTCTTACAACTGATGTGTAGCAATTTTGTCCATATTTTCTGCATGCATGTGTGCGTATGTATGTATACATATTTGTATGTATATAAGCATATATGAAAACACAAATTTGCAATATAATGATCGATATACATACATGTGTGTGCATACATATATGTATGTGGATATGCATATATGCAAGCATAAATTTGCAGTATGAAGAGAGATTCATTTATATTTACATACATGCATAGATAGATAGATAGATAGATTGAGAGAGAGATATGGAAATGCATAGATAGTGCAGTAAAAAGAAATATTGTAAATAAAGTCACGAAAATGTCATTTCTACTTGCCCTTGGGTTCTCAGTGTGTGTAGGAAATTTGCTTCAGGGACAAACCAAACTACTTTGTGACTTTGGGACACCTTGTGTGCTATTGTTATTATATATATATATATATATATATATATATATATATATATGTGTGTGTGTGTGTGTGTATATATATATATATATATATATATATATATGGGGGACAATTTCTACATATACAGATATAGTCATGTACATAGATCTATTGTATTGATACTTTTTGAAGCTCTTAGTAAATTATTTTTCATGGAAACCTTTCTGTTTTATATTTTTATATATTTTATTATGCATTGTACTACATGCATAAGAAAATATATAAAAATAGCTTATTAATGAGAATGCAAAATAAACAACTCTATTATATATATATATATATATATATATATATATATATATAATTGTGCATTTGTGCATCAATCCCTCTTTTATGCAAGTTTCATTAAAAATGTCTGACACAGTACTGTAGTTATGTGTTTTATTTAATTTTTCATGTGATCTTATACTTTTTTTCATTTCTGGACATAATTATATAAAAATTGTCAAAATGCTTTGATAATGGCTAAAAGTAGAGTATCTGACATTCTTTAATATAGGCTTTATGAATGTTGGTGATAAAAGTGCCCTGGAGCATGTTTGTTGATGAAAGGATATTAATTAACATTCCCTATAGATATTTTCTTTGTAATATGTTTGCCTTTTATTAGGGTGGCATTTTTTAAATAAAAGTTATAATCTGTTTTATTTTTGTGTGTTAGTAATGAATTTAGTGATTTTATCACAGTAGACATCTCTTTGTGTTGGAGGTTTCACCTACATATTTTTTATAATATTGCAGGCATTTAATTTTATATAGTTTAAAAATAACATTAATAATAATGAATAGAAAATGCCCTAAAAAGCAGAAAAATGCCCTAAACAGAGTAAAGCATATAGTCACTAATGACCTGGGTACATAAATAGAGCTGATCACAAAAAAAGCATCGAAAAACTGAACAATGGATTTTGTGAAATTTTCCTTGTGTTTTTTTGATAGTGGTAACAAAGCTGAGCCAAACTGACAATTGTCATCACTTGAATTCAAAGTTTACTGAAATGATGAGAATCCTTCTTTTTGCCTATGCAGATTAGTGAAGGTACAGAGGAGTAATAGACAGCAGCTTGGATTGAGAAATTGGAGAGCCAAGTTCAAATTTCAGTAGACTTTATTACAGTAACTTATTTGCAAATACCCTTCAGAAAGATATGAAATCATATCTTGTCCCCACCAGCTATGGATAAATAGAAGGACAGACTGTGTCCTATAGCCTTTGGTAGCAACCAATCTAGGAAAGTAACAACTCTGAATTAAAATCTTCCAACTATAGGTTAAATAACTTCAACATCCAACAATTGGCCACACATTGTGAGTATACCTACACCCCTGAAGACATGGTGAAAAACCTCTGGATCTGGATTTGGAGATTAGGATAATGATGGCATGTGGGAGGCACTACTGGATAACTAGATTTCCATTGCACAATGATGAAGAATCAAGATTCCTGAGAAGTATAATGAGCATTACAACTTTCAGTTGATGATTGTTGGAAGGATCACCACCATGCAGTTCAAGAGAATTGAGGAATGCAGTTGAATACAAAATAACCTCTGAAGATTCCAGAACTGTGTCAATCAATTTATACACTTGAATCTTTTCAGGGATCAGTTGCAACAATTTTGAATTTTTTGAATCATTCTTTGGAGTAAGAATGTCTTATGAACAGTAACTGGCAGTTTCTCTAAATTTGAGCCATTTGTTATATTAAAACAGGTATTATTTGTTCTAAAAGTTATTCAATGTTGAACAATGTTTTACAAATAAAAAAGGAAAAAATAGTTTTGCTCTTTAAGTGTATTTTTTACTGAAAAACCACTTGACCACTAATACCATCCAACACCTTTGGAGAATAGCACCACTGATCCACTTCTGTTTTTCTGCCCATATTAGTTTCATGTACCAATTTACCTTCAAGAATGTAATTGTTTGGCTACACTACAAATCATAAAAGCCACAAATTTTATCTCCAGTGACCTTGGAAGTTGAATTTAACCCAAACTGACCTACAATTTGTGAGGTCAGAAACACTTTCTGTTATTTCATAGAAAACACAGTCACTCACACAATTTTGCTTGAGATTTGCTGGCTATTTTGCTAAAAATTGCTTCATTTGGCTGGAAATGACATAATGTACACTTTGATGACCTCTGATGACCTCAAATGATATTAGTAGTCAACCTTACATAGGCCTTGTCGGTATTAATGCAAAAAGAATTGAGAAAGTTCCCTGGGGTTTTCTGATTGGCCATCATGTCTGAACATATACATACATACATACATACATAAAATTATTCAGCATAATAATATAATATAAATACCATATCACACCAGAATATAGGTGATCATGGTTCACTTTTCTTTTTATCATTACCAAACTGTACATTGCTTTGTATGTTATAAAGAAAAATAGTGGAGTGGTTTCCCATTGTCATCTCCATAGTTTTGAATTTAGTAGTCCTCCAATATAGCAGTGAAATCTCAACAATCTCTCCACAAGAAAGAGAAATGTGGTTTTACAGAAGGATGGATAAAAAATGAAAGCAGCAACAAAAATTTAGAGAAAATGGAAGCAAAAAGGACACTCATATTAACATCAGAAAGAGAGAGTTGAAATTTCTATGGCACATAATGAGAAAAGAGTGCTTGGAAAATTTAATACTCACAGGACAGATTGAAGGCAAGTGAGACAAAAGAAAACAAGTATAACCTACCTAGTAAGAATGAAGAAATTTTTAGGAGAGATAACAAAAAGACAAAATTTATTAAGAGCTACAAAGAACAGGAAATTGTGGAGAGCCATGATCACCAATGTCCCGAAAGGACATGCCACACAGAAGTAGAAGAATTTTTTTTTCTACTAAATATAATCTATTTTAGCAATAGCTGTGAGGAAAGATGAATTCATGTTTTATTAAAAGACAAAGTGAATGCAATTGCCCCAGCCAGAAATTGAACTCATGCTGCTAATTTCATTTTTCACACTTATAATGGTTATCCTACCACCATCTGCTTAAAATATTGGCTTTTTTGTAAAATGAAAATATTCATAAATCAAAGAAAGAGTTCTGCAGAATCAATTTTTCTCCTGCAATTGACAATGCTTATTTCTTTGTTGTCTGGTGAGAAAAAAAAAAACTGACAAGGTGACACACCTATATGCATTTTGTTCTTCTGTTTTTAAAAGAAAAATATCATGGATTTACGGATATATAAACTGCTATTAGGTGTGATATATTCAGTGTTGATTTATTGTATTTGATAGTGGTATTATTAGCTGTTTCTTTATATGGAAACATTTCGCATTCTCTGGTCAAACTGTGAGTTTTAGTTAAAATTTATAAAATTAAAGCAATTTTTCAGGAAAATAGGTTTCTCAAGTTCTGTAACGGCTATCACTCTTTCGAGTATTAATAAGACTTCTTTCCTAACCTTTTGTTTGAAGTAGTGTGGAACATCTTGATTATGTCATTATTTTCTCTACAAGTTATATATGATATCTACTTTAATCTGCCAGGTGTTTTTTCATGATTTTTTCAATGTTTGGTTAAATGTGCAATAAGCAGACTCATTTCTTCTTCAGTTCAGTATAGATTTTCTTGCTTCTTATTTTTCATGTTATTTAGTGTTGAGAAGCCTAATTCTCATAAACAGGAAGTAGACAATTGCAATGTGGGATAAAAAGTTTAATACTTATCCATTTAATCAAATTCTAATTCTGTACCATTACTCCTTCCAGACACACATCTATATGTATGCCATGACAATATTTTACAGCACACTAGTATGTTGTGGCATAATCCAATGAAGCTTTAATTATTAGGTCAATGTTTTGGTTTTGTAGTGTTGTGCAAAACTACCCAGTGTACAGCTTATTCAATGTTCAATTTCCTTATCTCCTATACTAAATTTGTTTTAACTGATCCATCCATCAAGGTGATTGAAGTGTTTAGTATTTATTAATTATTGATTTTTTATGATGGATTTAGTGTATGAGCCATCACTGATTTCACTCCAATTTCAGATCATAGTTTCTGTTTTTTTAAGCCCTACTTCTTGGAACATTTGTTAGAGTATGTTGATTTGTTTTCAAGATCATTCTTATCCTAAATATGAATATACCTATCTCATTAACATAGCCTTCCTCATCATCAGCACACTGGCCTCAAGAGGGAAAACATGAATGCTTTTTTTTCTATTTGTAGATACAGAAGATAAAAATATAGCTTGCAAAACTTTAGTGACATGAACTATATCAATTTATGTCATATACATCATCTACTTAAGTTGAAGTTAAAATGATTTGTATTCTAGACAGAATCATTCAATTTTAATCAGCATTTTGTTGATTTAATTTCACACTCTTTGACTTTTGGGTTTCTATTTCTTTCAATCTCTTGAGGAATATGCAGCTCCATGTATACCAAAAGTAGGAGTTATTAGTAGGAGTATATTAAGAGATTTCCACAAACAAAAAAAGGTAAATTACAGAGTACAAGATGGTGAAATTAACCAGAATGTAATAAAATAACAAGATCTCAATGAAATGATGTAAGTAAGAATAGATAGTTATTAGTGCCTAAATTTGAACTGATTTTTAGTCCATGCTTTCTTTGATGAGAAGATGAGAATGCCAAAAATGGAATTGGTAATCTGTGAATCAAAAGAAATTGTAATGGTGGAAAAAAGACAATCTTCAATAACTATTTGAAGTAAAATAATGAGTAGAGACCTGTTCGTATAAGTCTTTTTACTTTGTTTTAACAGCAAATTTCAAATCTTTTTTATTTTTTTTTTTGGCTTGATGTTGCTTAAAATCAGAATATAAAATCTTCATATCTCAGTTGAGATGAATATTTGTTTGAACTTTAGAAACCATTCTTAACTCAGTAAAGGCAAT